AAAAAAAAAAACGGATTAATCAATCAAACGTCGCGTCCCTCACCTTGTTTACGATTCATTGCATGGCGCTCCCGGTGATGCCGCTTTCCCGTGAATCCTAGAACGGGTCTGTCAAACACCCTCCTCCCGTCGGCAAACGCGAACTCCGCGGACGCGCTTGGGCGAGCGGGGCTCCTGGGCTCTGCAGCCGCTCAGCCACAGTAACTCTCGCACAGACACGGGGGGCGGCTCTGCGCCGCTCCTGATGCGTTTAGCAGACACTGCCGAGCCTCTTAAAGGAGACGCGCGGCTTTGTGGTTGCCCGAGCCCTCGTCTGAGCCACCATCCCCTCTGCCCTCCATGATCCTGACCAGAGGGTGGCTTCTGTTGTTGAGTAACACGTCCAGAGCGACCCCACGCAAATACAACCCAAGCCCTCTCAAAACATAAAGAGAATTTATCAGAGCAAACACGTGGTGTGCCTCTTTTTCTAACGAGCCCCACAACCATTTCACCGAATTCTGAGCGTACGTGAACAAACACGGTAGGTACACGCCCTGGTTATTAAAACAAACCACCTGAAGCGCCCAGCAATTTTCAAAATAACCGGTATCTCTCTATAGACTGTAATTTACAAATGGAATTTGAGTAAACAGCTCTTCAGTGTTAAAGGGCGCTGTGCGACTCAAAGCACACAGGAGTGTACAGAGGAACAGACGCTACAACTGCCTTTTTTTGCCTTTTTGCTTGTGAAATTTACTCATGCGCCAGTTCAGAGGTGATACTCCTGCACTATAATGCATTGCATTGATTTATAGATCAGCAGCAAACCCAAATATACAGTACACTGCTTCAACCCTAACCTAGAAATTAGGACATACTTGCATCTTTACACTCAGAGTTGTGGGTGTGGTGACTCAGTAGTAGGACACCTATCACGAACCTAGTCCTAGTCCAAATGCCTGCTCCTCACTGTCAGGAAAGGAAAACTCCTCAGCTCTGAACCCGCTCCCACTCCCTGCTCATTCCCTCTCTGCAGAGACACCTGGAGCAGCAAAGGGAGACTCCACACCCCTCCCCAGCACTGCTCCTCCACAGACCCAAGCCTCCTGCGGCTGGGGCTTGACTGCCCTAGGGCAGCAGGGGCAGACTGGACAGAACCATCCAGCGCTCCTGGAGATGACAGATCAGGCCCATTGAAGCAGGGTGCCTGTGGACCTCTGCACCACTAGGCAGTGAGCTCACTGTCCACGTGTCTTTCTTTTAGAACAGGACAGACCCTGGGAAAGTGATGCCCTGGTGCACACCTGCCCCCTCTGCTGTCTTCAAGGCCTGCAGGTTCCTCTGAGGCAGACACGGGTCCCACTGATGATCCACCCACTGATGATCCACCCTCTGACGATCCACCCGAAAAGGGAGATTTTTACCTGATAGGAAATGCGGGTCAAGACACAACCCTGCTTCCCTGACAGGAGACATGGCCGGTGCCCTGCCAGGGTGCCAGTTAGGCAGCGCAGATGCCTGGAAGAGAAGAGGGCAGGGCTGTGGGCTGAGCAGGGGGCAGCAGCGCAGGCAGAGGCAGAGAGGCCAGAAAAGGCACGTGGAAAAGTGTGGGACCTCCTGCACACTGTTGCTTCAGGAGAGAAACGCTTCTACCTGCAGCTTGCAAAAAAGTAAGAATAAAGACAAAGGCGAATGAGGAATACAGCCTGAAGATATCAACTGACTTTCTCATTATTGCAGAAATTGACACATTGAGCTCCTAGAACAGGCTGACTCTTTAATTGAAATATTTCTTTGTTAAATTAGGCCACCTTATTAGCTCAGTCCTTTTTATTTTAGAAAACAGAACTCCTAATTCTAATTTGCAGGCTGCTAATTATGTTGTACAGACATGGGTGAGAATTGCGCTGTGTCCAGCGCTACTTCAGTAAGCATTCTTCCTGGGTCCAGAGACCCCTGGGATGAAATCCAGACACCTGCTCATTAAGCTAGTATGTCTGAAGCAGCTCTGAAGCCGAGCAGCTGGCAAATGCAGCTTCTACTTCCACCCAACTCCTTGAGAACTCAAAATGCCGAATATATTTAATAAAGTTCTTTCCTCAGTAATCAAGGAGGAAAGGAAATGTGACCGGGGCTCCTAGGACACAAGGATGAAGGCCATGCGGAGCGATTCCCCCTGGAATGGGAAACTCCACGGACTGGGACCTCTGCCGCTGAGCCTGGCGGATACTGTACTCCAGCCCAGCCGGGATCCCAGCTCCAGCCGCTCCAGTCCGCGTCTCCCGCTGTCCTGCATCCGCGGATTTCAGAGACACTGAAACTGGATCCTTGAATGAAATTTAAACTACCACTAGAGGGGAGGTGGAATCTACATGAAAACACCTCTCTGGCCCCCCAGCAAGAGTGTTTATCTTGGTTGTCAAAACATACAGGCCTTGTGCTATTAAAAGCTGCTCAGGGAAAACAGACGTGCAGTTTTTGGAGAGAGATTTTTTTTTTCTTTCTCAGCATCTCTGTGGCTTGAAGCTGTTGCTGTGTTATGAAGACACACACGTCCACAGCTGGAATCCACTAGGATGGCTGAAGCTTCAACCAGTTTACATGAGGTATCGACATGCAGGTTAAATTTGTTATAGCGCACAAAGTCATGAATAGCCTTGTTACATTGTCAGTACCAGGACACAGGTTCATGTGTTTGTAGCTGTAAAAGCCCCGATCTTCATGCAACAGGCTACATGCAGAAGGAATTTGGTGTGGCAGGTAAAGTAATCTCTCTAATCTTTCCTTCTGGAATCCAAGAGCCCTGGATGCCTCTACCAGCAGTGAGCAAGCCCCAACACGCTCACCTGCGCACAAGAGAAACTCCCGACCCACTCGCGTGCTGACAGAGGCTAGACTTGACACCTCACTGCAGGAGAGTCCCATCTCCTGCATCAGACCCTGGCCTGAGCAATAGTCGAGACATCAGCTGTAATAGCTGATCCTGAAAGACGAATTTCCCCATCTCCTTTCACGACAGCTCCCTTCTCCCAGCAGGCACACTGGCGTTTTGCTCTTGCAGCCTATCCTCTCCAAACCCACTCCTTCTCTGCGGGGCTAGCTACAAGAGGGGTCCACTCTCCTCTACCCTCCAATTTTAACAAAGCCACAGCCCACCCTTTCCAGAATTAGCATGCACTCAAAAGGTGCTGAGACTTTCACACTTGAACAGAATGCAAGTACAATCTGCATACTGCACTCCAGTGGTGTGACTCCCGAAGGACAGGTCTGGTATGACTGACTGACATATAGTTGATTTGGAGTGATTGCAGCTGTGATGTATCCTCATTGATCTAAACAAGAGAGAGCTTCCACCTGAGAATGCAGCTTGCTAATTGTGCAGGGGTCAGTGTTCATCTGATTCTGGAACTTCAGCTGAACTGTAATCTAGGGTGGCCCCTAGTGGCTATTTGCTGCAAATACATCCAGGAACCAGCAAACACCTTCTACAGGAGTCAACCCCCTGTAAAGCACATGAGGAAACTGAGTGAAAGTAATGATCTGCCATTGCTTTGGTGTGCAAGGCCCAGAATTCCTTTAGACATGGTACTCTCAACATTTCTTCCCAGAATGCTGACCTTTGGTACCATTCCCTTGACAGTTGGTCCATCCCTGGTCCTGGAGAGCCCTAATCCAGTTAGTCTTGTAGGTCATCCTAAATCAGACATAAGATATTGATAAGCAAATAATGTGTTAAATTACGTGACTTCTGGTACTTGGGGGCTACAGAAGAATACCTGGATTTTAGCCCTAAATGATCTATATTGGTTAACTTTACAAGTTACCTGCTCAGTCTATCACAGTTACTGAAACTGGAAGATATGATGAAGATCCCTGCTCTGTTTAATCCAGTGTTGCTTCTGTATTCAACCTACATCCTGAACCAGTTTTTTGCAGCTCTAGTTAAGCATCTCCTCTCAGGTTAGGTAAAGTAATGAGTCGAACGACAGGAGTGGTGTTGTTCTGCCTGACAGAAGTAGGAGACTTCCTCTCCGGTCTTTTCAGAATTGCAATTACATTATCAAGGTTTGCTCATTAGAGCACAAAAACTGCACTTTCCATCACAAACTAAGGTCCAGCAAAATTAAAAACTGGTATTTAAAGACTTAATGGTAACCAGTCCCCCATTAAAAGTGCTCACCTGAATTGTTCCGTTCCTCCCGAGACTGGTGACGTAACGGAAACCCGCAGGAAGAAGTGAGGAGGAGTTTGCTCAGGGAGACACTCACAGAGTCAGCGGCAGAGCTCGTGCTTCAGCATGCTTCACCACTGCACTAGTGCGAGGAGCAGTGCTTAGGAATCGGCACTTTTACCAGCAGGTTCTGGGTAGAAATCGTAGGTAGGATTGCTGTTCTACCTTTCACTGGGTAAAATACTTATACAGTATATAACCTTGCCTGATGGGCACCAGTGCAAAGATACACGTGCTACTATTCATATGTGCGAGGGCTCCTCTGGGTCCTCTGCCGTTTTCACTTACTGCTCCAAACTGCACACAGAGGCACAAACAGACCAAAACAAATACTTCGCACAGTTCTAATGATAAAAGAAGATTCCATCTGGCTGAGAAGCAAAAAGCCCTTTAAACTGATGGAACGTCCTCACTGCACGTCAGGGTGCTATCTTTGTGGGGATGTTTTATTGAAGTTTGGTTGCAGCTTGATAGCAGTACACGCCCATACACGCACACTGACATGCTATCTGTAATGAGTGAGCCTGCTATACAAACCATCCACCCCCGCCAGCTTTCTCACAGATATTTTCCTTTAAATAAGATCCCACAAATTCCGCACTGGAGGTTGCAATGGGGGGATGGGTATTGTAGACTGGAGCAGCTGGACAGATGTGAAAGTTTCTTTTGTTTCTCTAGAAACACCATGTTTTTTTAAAAAAAACAATTTAACCTTTAACTAAACTGTCACCATAAGATGGAAAACAGTTTTGGAATAAAGGCAACAGGCACCAAGCTGCTGCAATTCAGAAACATCAGCTCCTCTATATCCAAAACAAGGTTAATTAAAAGTGAATTCTTACTATAAATGAAGATTGCCGAAGCATGCTTTTTTGTCAATGACACCTCTTCTGACATTTAGTGGAACACAAGTTGAACTAAGATGCTCCTGTAATTTACAGTTAAAGAGGGCTGGGCTCCTGAGTGGCTACATATGTAAATGCTGTGACTGTCAGCCTACAGGTGGTGACGTACAATTGCTACAGCGCCACCTGTGGTAGGTTTGGGAATAGTCACCACCTACTCACTCATCTCTCAGTGAAAGAGCGTGACATCATCACGCCCCTCCTCCATTAGACCAAACCTCCTGTAGGGGGCAGAAGAGCTTGTACTGTCCTGAATGACGAAAGACTCAGGGGGTGCAGGTGGTGCTGTGAGCCGAGCGGGCAAAGGGCAAAAAAAACAACTAGCAATTCCAAATGGAACTGGCAGCCGA